AGCATACAGCGAGCGAAGCTCGCGAAACTGACCGCGCCAACCGACAGTCGCTTCCCACAAATACGAAACTTTAAGGCTCATCGACGTGCACGCTATCTTTGACCAACGCCAGGATTTGCTGTCGCGAAGGGTCATTCCTGGCTATCGCGACGCAGGTTTCTGGACAAGCAGAAAAGTCACTTGTGGCCCAGAAAAGATTGTGACGATTTCTGCAACATGGTAGCACTCCCGATTCTCGCTTCACTTGTTCTCCGCGCGTACAGGAACTTCTCTTGGGGAAGCGAGGGGGTGGCCGCATAATGTCGTTAATCTTGTTATTGACAGTTTGTTTTGAGGCTTCGGGGGTCGCTTACCGGAGTGTTGGTTACTTGCTACAATGGGAACAGCGTCAATTCGGGCATCGTGCGAGGTTGCCGTGTAGTTGGCAAAGTGCGTTGTAGCGCATGCTTCGGGCGCCCCTCGAGGTCACAGCAAATACCACTGTTGGGGTTAAACGATTGCTAGAAAAGATAGCCGGAAACGCTTTTATGGCGTGCGGGGGTGGTGCGAGGACAACTTGCAAAAGATAGCGCCATGAACCATGGATGATGTGCGAAAGGCAGCAAAGAAGCTGTTTCCAAACAGTGTATGCGTGTGTCAATTGCGCAAAGCTAAACTACCTTTTTTTTTTTTCATTACCACATTTCTTGCTCATCCTCAAAAAGTTTTCATAAAATTCGCCCCGCATAATAAATGTGCCCTCAACTTTGCGGGGATTCTTTCAGAAGAAAAGTGTGTTCATTATACGAATAAATAAAGTAGACTCCTTTTAAACAAAATTTGAAGGGACCACGAAAATGTGTTTTCTCTAAGAAGTTTCATTTACTGAAAGGTAAACAGGGGTATAATATTCAAGTACGAAACCAAACATATTAGTCGCAGCTGTTTCATTTAAGCAGCAATATAATTTAAGAGAATTTCGTTTGTTAGGAGTCTACTGTACAGTATTTGACATACTGATTAAGTTGCGGCAGATTACTTGCGACAAAGCATGATCTGAGAATGAATCACCTGAGAATGAATCGGGTAATACACTGGCCAGAAATTTCAGAAACTAAAGTAGCATGATAGTGCAGTCACTTTACTGGTAGATGAAATTCACATTCAGCCATTCAAGGACTGCAAAAAAAGGAAAACTGTGGCAGCAGCAGTGAACAGTGATAAGGCTGCAACGGCTGCAAATGTGTTCGTGGTTCAAAGTATGTTGAGCTCATTTCGCGAGCTTGTCGACATTCTTTCTGTGTGAACGTGAAATGCAGAGTCATTTCATGCTGTCTTGAAAAAAAAGTGATTCTTGAGCTGGGAAAAATAGGGTTTATAATTATAGCTGTCGGAACAGATAACTTCTTCGACAGGAGGCATTAGGCATGTTTTCTAACCTGCCAAAAGCAATAATTATTTACCCACATTCAGCTGATGCGACGCGGCCTTTGTTTTACATTGTGAATACATTGTGTTTACATTGTCCATCTGTTAAAATGTGTTAGAAATGAGTGGCCTAACTAAAGAAACCATGGAACCCACTATCATTTTCCCAAGTTTGACAGCACCGACAATTATGTCTATCCTGTCATCCTACAATGGACACCATATAAAAAGCTAAGAGAATTCCACAAACTTTAAGCTTCTCAGCTGTTGAAGTACAACTACCGGCTATTTTCAAAGACCCTCAATCCGAATAGATTAAAAACTCAAAATGTGAAGCTACAGTATAACCTCATTACAACAGACCTCCATATCATAATGGATTTTGGTATGCTGTAGAATCCAAGTACTGTTACAACAGACTTTTATAGAAACACTGAATGGGTCTGTTATTTATATATAAGGAGTGCTACAGCTGCACCAATTGCACCAATTTGATACAATTCCCAATTTATGTGCCGAGCTGTGCCAAAACCATGAAATTTGCTGAAATTGTGCCACGCTACATACATAGTAAACTTATGCCATCAAGTACACGGGGCAATTTGTATCGTAATCGAAGCGTATTTTGTGACTAAGCAGCAATTGCGGGCAACAAGTCAAGCAGCTGCAGATGAGCTAATATAGATTCCTTGGCGGGGATTGCATTGAACTACACATGAGCTGTAGATACAGCAGATGGACAGGTTTAGTAGAAAACATGTTTGAAGCAGTGCGGTGGTGTTCGACCAGTCGGATGGCCATAACTGACATAATGACACGTGACATGCATGCTTGACAAGTTCTAAGAGGCGTCAGTGCGTGCTTGAACACGGTGCCACACAATAAGGTGGCAGGAATCAGTTGCCCAGCGCGTTCAGGTAGTCACCTATCAAAAGCGTGCCTAGTTAGGGTTGCCATCACTATGTGCAAGGAAAAAAAAAAGGAAATTACTAGGACCAATTTCAGGTGCAAGTGCATGACATCAGGCTGGTAAGCGGGGTTGGATATGGGGTTCAGTTTGGCCAGTGTTGCATAGGTGTGATGCATAATTGGGGTGCAGTGCTGGGGTTTGAAGTTGCTTTTTCAGATTGGCGTGGAAATTGGAAATTAGGAGTGAAATATTTTAATGGTAGTCATGTGAATTGGTCTATGTAGGAGAACTACGTTAGTCACACAGTCTACACTCATTGCAATGACCCACCGTCATAATTCAGCAGAATGAGTTGTTATTATCCGAAGTCCGTAATAGCCAAACTTTGCGGGATGGGGGGGGGGGGGGGGGTTCTGTGACGATAGTTTTTGATTTTGGTCAGCAGTATGGGGCAGGCTAGTTCTGCTGATAAATGATGAATGTATTCGACAGCATCGTTACAAAAGGCTTTCATCACCAGCACCAGTTATTAACAAAATTGCAGCACAAATTGCAATTAATGAGCGAGTGCCGTTTTAGTAGTTACAGGAGTGCCATGTGGGTTCCGCCTAGCAACAAAGCTTAATCTGATAATGAAGCGCTTCTGCAGGCTTTTTCAGCCACTTCTGTTGTGATTGAATTCTTTCTTATTTGTGCGAACAGAAAGGCACATCTGCTTAAACAGGGCCGCGTTGTGGCCGTGTGAGAGCTGTTGCTCCCTCACAGCTCGCTGGACAGTCTGAAGTTCGTCTGAGAGTTTCGAACTGAGCAGCACCAAGGCACCTCGGTGGTTAATATTCTAATTTGGCAGTGGAACTCGCCTGCTTAGTGCACCAGAATGGCTTAGTTTCAAAATTTTTGTCTCGATGCCTTACAACGTTACTAAGACCATCTATCGCAGGACACCAACACACTAGCTATGAATGACCCCTTCAGGCTTTACATCTACACTGACTCCAGATCAGCCATCCGAGCCTTTCTATCTGGTCTCATCTCGAAAGAAGCGGCGGCTATAATCGGGCAAGGACTGCCTCACACCTTTCACACTATCATATAGTTCCCAGCACTCATAGGAATCAATGTACATCCCAGCAAACTTAACCCGAATGAACTAGTTCATGACCAAGTGCGAGGTCTAACATTCTGTAACGGTCCCAATACGCTAGATAATCTGGGTTGGGAGCGTAACTTTGACCCTTTACTCCCTTTTCACCAAATAGTAGAACGCTATCAGCTTGGGCGCAGGAAATTCCCGCTCCCACACCCAAAGCTGACTAGACCTCAATCTTCCACCCTTAGAATGTTACAAACGAGATCTTTCCCGTCGAGAGGAAGGTTCATTCGCTTTGCTCTGGACATCGATCCACGCTGTCCTGAGTGCCATGAAGAGTATTGCTTGTTAGTTTACATGCTTTGGCTATGTTCAGTGCTATAAAATGCCTCTTTTAATAAACAAGAGGACTGGGAGGAACCCCCACAAGCGGTGATCTCCATAAGCAACTAAGGGCTGTCCAAAGGGCCCGCGAACGGGCGAAGGACCATGGACTTCCGGCCCCAACGTGGGCGCAGCCTGCAACCACGACTCTGCAACCAGACTGGCTTGAGAATTGGCTTGGTTGGAAGCCACCTATGGAGCCATTTTGCCAGTTGCAATTTAAAATTACTGTTATTTTAGCCTGCAGAGAGCAGTGTGGTCTGCTGTTGGCCCACGTTAACACGGCGAAAGTAAGCTTTACGTGCCCGATTTCAAGAAAAAATGTAGCTGATTTTGTCCACTGGTAGCCGATTGTCCGTTGCATCCTGGTCTGTTAAAAAAGCATTGACACTAAATTTTGCACCTTTTTTTTTTTTTTTCAATAGGTAGCTTTTCACCCACCTCTCACTACTGGAAATCTCGTTTGCACGAGTGTGCGACGGTTATTTATTTAACGTTGTTTTTAGAGTGCCCAGTCACTGTTTCAGTTTCAAAGAGCACTGATCTGGGCAGGAGCAGTTCCAGTAGCAAGGTAAACACAGCTGGCCACGTGACCATGCAAAACTGTGAAAGGGGGGGGGGGGGGGGGCGTGCGTGAGAGCATGTGTGAGTGGGTGTCGCTTTGACAGCCAGCTCAGCCAGCACTGGCAAAGCCGCAGGTGCGAAGGAAGAAATCGCATGTAGCTCAAGCTAAAGGCACATGCAAGCAAACAGCCAACAGAAACTGTGGTGTAGGTTTCTTTACACTCCAGCTGCGTTGATGTCGACGTCGCGAGGGGCTCTGCCTCTCACTCATTCTAGGCTATATTTGCCCTTGATGTTTAGAAGCTGTTGTGTATGTCTCTAGATAAATCTCTCTCGCTCATCATCTCGCCTCCGAAATTTCGTGTCCCTGCTCTTTAAAAGCAAACGTTGCTCTATTAATTTAATGCACAAATAAAGCTTAGGCTGAATAATCATCCATTGTCTGAAAGTCTGTTTACGTGGGCCCATTATTATGAGTGTAGACTGTATTGTGCTTTATACTTCTGTGTTTACTTATTTATTAGTGATGGTGTTTGATCTAGAGCATGAATGACCTATAGTCTGCTGACTATCAAATCACACTATTAATGTGGCTATATGCAGGTTTGCTTTCACATTTCTTTGATGCAGTTCCTGATTTTGTAGTTGCAGGGGTAGGGCCACCTGGATTTCCCAACCTTGGTTTGCCACCTCCACCATTTGGCCCACCACTCGGCCTGCCGCCATTTGTGGCCCCCGTCGCAGCACCCTCAGTAATGCCAAGCTTGCAGATGGCAGCAGCAGCACCTGCTGTACCAACAGCCACAGCCGCAGTGGATGCGGACTTGAGAGAACGAGCGAGTCAGTGGACGGAGCATAAGACAGCTGATGGAAAGAGCTACTACCACAACACACGCACACAGCAGTCCACATGGGACCGTCCAGAGGCTCTCATTGAGCTAGACAGTGAGTGACACAATTCTGAAGTATAGAGAAACTTTCTTGTGTTTGCATCTAGGCTAGTTGTAATAAAAAGCAACAAAAAAAAAGCAAGTACAATACTAAGCCATCACCATTTATTACCGTATTTATTCACGTAATTGGCATACCCCTACTACTTAGCTACCCTAAAAGAAAAAGAAAAAAAGTTTACTTGCATATTTTGCGTTCCCGGACATGCCCAAGCTAGCTTGTCGGCCAAGCACAAACTTTGGATGCTTTGGACGGGCGCTCCCCTCTTCGAGCAGGCTAGCGCAGTCGTACATAAAACAGGCTGTGAGTGTGAAGCCTTTTCTTCCAAGGACTTCCTTCGAACCATGGTCCTTAGACTACCATACCTGAATTTCCAAAAGAAAAATGGCGAATTCGAATGCGCTCAAGGAACCTAGCGGAAGCTAGGACTATACATTCTGCGAGGGTGCGAAAAGCGGCCACGACGATGGTTCCGAACTGGACTTTTCGGCCTGTGATTCTGACTAGACTATGCATGACTGTATTTGGCTGGTTAAAGCACATGCTAATACTGGCAAGTAAAAAAGTTAACTTCGTGTGTGTTCCAGTTATTTCTTGAATGTACATACCAGGGCGTTAGGACTATATACTATTCCACGTTATTTCGGGTGCATTTGTAAGATCTCTGCGTAATTTGCACACTCCCTTTTCAGAGCTCCAAAACCATGAAAAGAAGTGTGCAAATGACTGTGTTTACTCGCATTATATGTGCGCTTTTTTTCCAGAAAATTCAGCTTCAAGTTCCGGGTGCGCCTATTACGCGAGGTAAAATTTTCTAAAACTTTATTTCCGACTACAGCATAGACCGCTGATAACGTATATGACGTCGTAGTCATGAATATCCACGCTACAGCCAAAACAACCTTCTTCATTGGCTACATTAGCGCCAAGCGTGTTGAGCATGCAGTCCCACGTGTCTGAGAATCAAGGCAGGCGATGCATTCAAATTTCCGAAAATTAACATTGGAAGAACCACGTTGCCAATGAAATGAATGAGGGAAAAGGAAAAAAACAGCAAAAAGAAAGTGCCATTGCAGATGTTCGCCGATTACGTTTCAGGCCACATTGATTATATGTGCCCTGAACGGTACCTATTGTTCGATTTCATGGGCTCGCATCCAATCAGGGGCGTAGCCAGGTGGTGGCACACCGGGCACATGTACGGGCCTGCACTTAATATCCAAGACGCATAAATCGAATCGTGAACCTCCATTAAAGTGTTACAAGTGCCACCGAAGCACTTTTTCCTTCAAATATATAGAGCCACTGAAAGAGTTATGTTGATTCCGTACAAAAGCACAATAAGATTGCCCGCGATGGCCACTGAAAAGCACAGTGATTAGGCCTAACCTATGGTTTGGCATATTATCGCGGAAAGTTTGTACAAGACGTGAAGATTGGGTGTCCAAAAGATGGCAATCAAGCACTGATCCAATAGCAGGGCACCTGATACAATGTTTAGGTTTATGGTAAGGAAATCAACAACGACAAAAGTCCGCCGAACTTGTGCAAGTTCGTGTAGTGGCAGCAAAGGTGAAAGCTTGTGTTGGAGAGCCGAAAAGCTTTTAAAATTTGCGGATGAGGTAGCAAACGTGATAACGGCGACGTTTTTTCTGACAGGACACCCAAGGCAAACTTCACGAGGACGTGGTCGTGCGTTCCATACGGAGTGCACGCGGCCCGTTAGTGGCCGAAGCTACGCCCGCACGTCGGTCCAAAGTTACTCTGACGCCCTGGCAACCCGCCCTTCTTCCACTCGGCGAGCTTGCGGAGCCGACGCACCGCTGCCGTGGTCATTTTGTTGTTTATTTTTGTTCGCTTCGGTTAACATAAAAGGGCGTCTAATGCAGCTGTGCAAATATGGTACAGACTTACTGATGATGGCCAAGTTCTGGGTGCATCTATTACGCGTGGAAATTAGAAAATATGATTTCATGCGACCAAACTCGGGGTGCGCCAATTATGTGAGTAAATACAGTATTATACACTCGGGATTCCTTTTTTTAGAGCTGTGCCAATAGCAAAATTTTGGGTGCAAAATGAATTCAAGTATCAAAGTCTGTGAAAAAATTGAATCAAATGGGTTTCGAATATTTCTAGAATATTTTTAGAATATTTTAGAATAGTTTGAAGCGAAATTTCGAAGAAAAAAAGAAAAATGGAAGGGACTCCTAAGCGTATTTTTAGGAGATATAGCAACATAAAAGGGTTTCATTTCACTAGGTTGATGAAGTACTGGCTTAGTGGTGTTTTATAATTGTCTTATCAAGAATGAGGCAATGCAAAGGCCAAATTGCATTCGTGCATGATTTGGTGCAACCAAAGTGTTTTCGACAGCACTTTACACTGGAAATGCACAGATGCTATTTCCACAGCCACTCCTGCTCTTTCAACTTTTGTGGAAGCAGAAGTGATGTGGCATACAAGGTTGTGCTCTCTTCGAGTTAAATGTTCCAAATCTGGTTGGTTAATGTCAATATGCAAGCACATTTGAAATTTCGGATGCTAAATACTGTGGGAATCGAGGCTAGCCCGCCGCCTTTGTGTGGGCTTTGCCGCCTCTTTCTGCGTTCTCATGTCCCGACATGACTCCCCTTCTCTGTGGTCTACCACGCTGGGAGAGCGACAAGTGAAGTTTAACCCCTCTTACCCGGTAGCGGATGTCGACTGTGGCTCCGCGCATAAAGGCTCCTGGGGACGTTTTGGGCGCCCGCGTAAGAAGTGTCAGGCTTCTCCGGGGACGACACGGGGTAAGCATGTATTTTTTTTCCGTCCGTCGGCTCCCTTTGTTTGGGGCTCTTTCGGACTTCGCCAACAACGCCTTGCGCCCACGGCAACCGCTTACCTTTTGTCGCCCCTCCTTCCTAACGCTAGGCCGAAGAGCGGTGCGGTGTCCTAGTGCGTTGCCAAGCTACGCCGACTCGTATCTCTCCGAAGCCAATGCGAGCGCCTTTGCCCTCGCTCGAGCAAGCTGGCCTTTGTCCCGGTGTCTCCGCGATGAATCACATCTACTATACGGAGACGTGCTCGCGGCACCCTTGTGTAGTACTTCTCGCCCGTGGCGTGGATAAGCCGATTTGCTTTACTGCCGCGTCTTTTCAACGTGCTCTGTACTGCGTTTTTGGTGTTGCCGCAGAGAATAAAGTGTTGTGGTCAAAAGCAGCATCGTGTTCTCGCCACGGCGACGGTTAACGCATGCCCTGCAGCTTGCTAAGACCGGACTCACGCTGGTGGCCATACTTCTTCAGGATACGTGTACACTAATACCTTTGGCATCCAATTTTTCAGATTTCCTGCCAGCATTTCAGGCCCGAAACGACATTAATTGAACCTCCTCCACCTTTGCCACATGTGTCATCTCCATGTTGGAACCAGCATTTTCTTGATTCAATACGTTTGCAATTGTAGCAGAACCTGAAAAGCAGCTTTAACTCAATACGGTAGGGTGATGAGGGAAGTATTAGTAAATTTGAAGGGGCCTCTTTCAATCATACGCTGTCTCAGGAATTCGGCCGTAGCGGAGCCTGAAAGAAAGATTTGCCGCAATACGAGAATGTGTTGGGGTGAAGTTTAATAAAGATCTTAACGTGTCACTTTCAATCAGACTTTAATGGACTTTGTCCTTGGGAAGTTTGAATGCTAAATATTGTAGTGTGAGTCGAATTGAATAGCAAACACTATTATAAAAATGTTTAAAATTTTTAATATTCACCAGTGATCCCACTCTTATGCCAACTGCGCCAAATCAGATTGACTGTGCCATCTTGATAATATCAACGGAAATTGCACCGAACTGTGCCAAAGCCTGATTTGAAAGCGTCTATCACCAGCAACAGCCATGCATGTGCGTCAAAACATCTGCGCCTTTTTTGTCGGGGCCACCAAAGTCATAATCACGTGCCTGGAATTATTTCACTGAATAAACAGCTGTCGCGCGTGCATCCTAAGTAATCCACCATGCTATGTTTGGTACCGACGCAACTTGTATCGTGCAAGTCCACTCAGCGGCGAAACGTGCTCTCTACTATGGTTCGTGATGGCCAGTGCAATTGGTAGCATGAAACTGTGGTGGCAATTCATCGGCAGACGTCGGTTCCAGGAATGCTGCTGATAGCTCATTTGAAAAGTTGCGGACTAATAACTCCTCGTGTGCTGCCAGAATGTCTGTCACGTCTACTTCTGAACATCGCAATCCAATTTCTGTGCTTCACGCCCACAGAAGAACACATGAACGGTGGGGACGCATTGACACTTTTTCTCTAATATACTTTATTCCTGGATATTCATTCAAAAGAGCTTTTTCGTAATGCCTTCAATCAACACATCCGTGTTTGTAATCGCTATCGTGGTAAAAGCACCCAAAAGACCCTGGCCTTTCGAAATAGAGATTGCTAGGGTTTGAATACAAACTTTTCATGTGCTTTATTTTAAAACATCATCTCGTAAATGAAAGTATACCTCCTAATCAAAACAGCCGCAATTCAGCCTTAATACTATATGTGCGCACAGCTCTCAGTCGTGGGACCATCGCTTGTGGCTCTAGTCAGAAGGCTCACTGTGAAATGGCTACGCCATGTTAGACGTACGCCCTTCGCTTTTTAAGGTCAATAACTGTTATTGAAAAACAAAACAAAAAAATTGAATGAATTGAATAAATTGAACCTGAAAATCATTTCACAAAGCGATTGTATCGGCCATTGGCTGATTGGCAGTGACTACGGTGATGGGGCCCGTCAACTCAGTACTATAGTCATAGTGAAGGGTCAGCGTTAGCTTAATTATAAAAGTATCGTTAAAGTGAGAGGCCTGTCATCATAGTGAAATCGTAACAGTGATGGGGCCCATCATAATAGCGATGCAGCTATAGCCACAGCGTAAGGAGCTTTGCCCCTAAAACATCTTCAATCACTTCAGTAAGAGCACAAACAGCAGTACTATGTCGAGGCCCGTCACTA